AGTCGAAGAGGAACGCGGCGAACCAGCACGACAAGCGACACGAGAATGGCCTGGCGGCCCCGGGCAAGCGCATCACCAAGCAAAAGAGCAATCCCCAGCTCAACCACGGCCACGGCCACGTCCATGCAAGCACGCATCCCACATCCTCATCGTCGTCGCCGCCGCCGCCGCCACCACCATCAGGATTGCTGCCAAAACATGTAGACGACATCACGACGTCGACCACCGTGGCCAGCGCCAGAATCAGCAGCAGCAGCAGCAGCAGCAACAGCAACTACCATAGTCACCATCCCACCGCTACCGCCACTACAACAGCGCTAGGGGGACCACACAGTGTGTCCACCAAAGCCATGACTGCTGCCGCTCCTGCTGCCTCTGCATGTCGCAGCGGCTCCTGCGGAAACGGAGAGCGCACACGCGCGGCGTCGGATGCATCGCTCGACAACAGCAAATGTGCCCACGCCCATGCCCATGCCCATGCCCACGCTCACGCTCACGCTCACTCTCACGCCAACGGAGACATCTGCCGTCCATGCGACCATGTAGGCAGCGGCCCCTTTGACAACTTGCCCGCCACCACTGCCTCCCCCCGCCGCTTCGACGCCAATGGCAACATGCATGTCTCCAAGTCCTCCGTCTCAGCCCCGGCCTCGGCCTCCGTGTCCATGTCCATGGCCAGCATGCTCTCCGTGCCAGCGACCATTCTCACGTCCTGTCCTCTGCGCGACGTCCTCGCCATCCTCATCATCTTGCTCCAACTCCCCCCAACCGTCCTCACCGTCGTTCAATTCCTGTTCGCTATCCTTACCTTTGTGCCTCCCCAAGCAGGCACCCCCCTCTCCGCCCTCTCCGCCTTTCCCTCCTTCACCGACATCTTTCAGGGCTCCGGCGGCACCCCCTCTCTCTTTACCACCATCTTCGCCGACGCCTTCATTCTCGTCCTCTGGCTCATTCTCTGGGTGCCTGTGCAAAACTTCTTTTTGGATCTTGCACAGGCCGTCATCGCCATCGCGCTGGGAGGCGCGGTGGCGGGCAAGAATGGCACGACCAATAGCATCTTCATCTGTGTCGTCATCATTCTTTCCAATCACCTCTTCAGATTCAGGCCTCTCCGGCAACACGTGGTTCACTTCCTCTGGACCGGGCTCGCCCGGGGAGGCCTTGAATTCTTCACGAGCCCCCCGAGTACGCCCACTTATTTAGAAAACTTCTCAACGCCCCATGGATGGCCCCGGAGCCTCCTGGGCATTCATATTCTCGCCCAAGGCGTCGTTCGCATCATCCGCCGCTCTCTATCTCGACGAGACGTAGCTTCCCCCTCGCTGCCCACTGGCAAAAAGGCAGACCCCGAAATAGGCGTGCTTCAGCGTGCCAACTCGCTCGCTCCCCTCGACGCCAACGCAGACGTGCCCAATTCCTCGAGTACCGATGGTCGGCCTCCGGGGCCGCCACCTAACACGCACTCGCAAAAGGACAAGACGAGTAGTCATAGGCGCAAGAGGAAGCAGGCTACCCATGTTCGCAGTCAGCAGCCGTTTTGGGCTGCCCTTGCTAGTACAAAAGTTACGGTTTTGAAAGAAATGGAAAGCAGCCGAGCGGCAAACGACGCCGACGAGGCCAACGCAAAAGATGCAAATCACATTGGAAACGCGGTTTGGAGATCGGAAGACGATCGTGTTTGGATTGCAGATGTCGGCTATTCCGACGTCTCCTTCCGTGTCAGTTCAGCCAGTGGGGCTACGTGTGAAGACGAGGACGAGGAGGAGACAAGTACCGGTTCTGGAATCGACCGGTCGAAGCCCTTTTACATTCGTGTCAACGGAGCAGATTGGAGTTCGACCCGCATTCGACGAAGCGAGCCTATAGGCTACCACGGTCCCGAGGGAACAGGCTTTTGGGTCGGTGAAATCTTCGGTCTGACCGCGCTCTCTAACTACTACTGCGAGTTTGTCAGGTCGACCGACGATGAAGTATTCTACACCGCCAGCCTGATTACCTCTGCCAGCCCCGTGACCGAACTCGGTGAGTCATGGCTGCAGTCGTCTTGTTGGTTCTCCTGTCTTGCTGGTACAGCTAGCTAACGTTGAAAATTTCACAGCTTCCGTCGCCTCCCCGCCAGCACATCAGACCCTTCGACCTTCCTCACCGACCACGACGCTCAAGAATTCCATTGCTGCGGCCGATCAGCAGCTCCAAGAGCAACGAAATCGCCTCAAACGAAACAAAAAGGATCACAAGACTGCCATCTCGAATATCAAGAAGGAGGTGGACACGCTCAGCAACCGTCTGGCAAATGCTGGTGGCAATGACGAACGTCAGCGCCAACGCGTTCTACAATTCACCCAAAACATTCGTCAAGCTGAGGAGGCTATTGCTGAGTGCACCGAGCTAGCAGAGAACCTAGCCGCCATTCCGGAGGACGAGGCCAAGGCGGCTGCCACCAAGAAGGCTGAATGGAACACGGAGCGTGACAAGAAGAAGGCTGCTTCGACGGAATTTGACACTATCAAGGCCGAGGTGGACCAACAGTTGCAGAGCGTAGAGAGCGACATTACGGCCACACTGCAAAAGCGAGAGCGTCTCCAGCAACGCCAGCTCAGGCTGAACGAGCAGCACGATCGCCTTGTGACGGCCAATCAAGAGGGCTTCACCGCCAAGCAGCGTCGTGAACAAGAAAGGGCAGCTTTGAGACAGCATCGTGCGGATGTCGAAAACCAGTACCGCTCCAACATCAACGGCTACGAGCGACGGACGGAAGAAAACAACCAGTCGACCTCTCACATGATGCAGACCATTCAGCACTTTGAGGAACTTCTCCATCAGTCTCAGCAGCAACAAATGTCTGTCCCGACCACGCCAGAAGGCCCTCTTCCAGGCACCAGCATGTCTCCCCACTCGAGTGGTTTCGCAAGCTTCACATTTCCCAGCCTCAACTACGGTCAGGTCCATAGCACACCTGGCTCGATTCGCAATGGTCGTGGCCGCTCATCATCCATGCTGAGTAACGTCTCCGGTTTCACGGATAGCTTCGATGAAGACATGTCCTCGACGACGTACGCCCTCGGTAACCCGTTCAGTACGCCCGGGGCCAACGGTCGTACCAATCGCAGTCATGGAAGTGGTAGTCTCAGCTCCGGTACTTCTAGTCAAAGCTCCAGCCAAAGAGATCCGTTGAGTCCTGTCCAAAGTGTGAAGCCTATGATGGCGAGGAGTAGTACGGGTGGGAATGGTGGTACTGGTCTCATGAGTCCGATTGGCACAGGAAGGTAAAAGGCACGACTCGTTCCTTGCAGTCTTTTTAGCTAGTGTTTCCAATGTGAATTTGCGTTCTTCGCCGTGTGTATCCGATCAGGATGTTCCTGGGCCCCATCATGGGGACTGTACTAGAATTATGCTAGTGAGGTGTGGTAGTGACTTGTTCTTTGGGTAACCCGTTACGATACAATCCGGTACCAGTCTGATGCGCCTTGACGATGGATGGACCCCCTAGTATCCGAGTCGATTACGCTTTGCTCCTCATCAACGGGGGAGCACGACCGACATGGCACCTCAACATGACCATTTTGCGGGCCGAGTACACCCCTTAAGATACTGTCGGAAAGCCATCCTGCTACTATCTGAGTCCCAAAGTCGCCTCTTGAAATGGACATGCTCACACAATATATATATCTCTGTTCAGTTCCCGGAAAACTTGGGCATTACCAAGCTCTTCGTCACATGTCTGATATATAGTAGTGAATTGACATAATTCATATTCTACCAAGTCAACTACTCCGTGTGCATGCGCATGTTCGCTAAAAGAATATCAACTGATTTTTTTCCACAACGTAGGCCCGACATCTTCCTATTACCTTACGACCCCGTAGAAATTTAAAGGTGCACCTTAGTGATGCCTAGGAACCCTCAAATGATATTCATAGCTCCTCTGACAACATGGCCTCCCACCTCAACAGGCTGCTGTACGAGGATGACGCTTGTGTTGAGCTTGTATTGGCGCACTTGCCGCTTCCATGAGTAAAATCAAGAGCGGTGTACTCGGGATACAAGTACCCATAGCTTTCGTAAATTGCGTCCATGGTTGACATTTGACCGTGGACAGAAACAAAACTAAAGTAGGTGACGGATTAGCCATCCTCTGTATCGAACGGGATCCCCTTTTTTCTTCTTGTTTTTCTTTTTCGTGGACACTTACGTTGCAGACTTGGCGACACGGTGCTTTGACATGGAAGCAATCAATTGAGCAATCTCATTGTGATCATTATGGGTTCCCGCCCACTGGGATTGGGTAACATGGTCAGCGTCGAACACCACGACGGTACTGTTCGCATTGGGGCAGGGAGGCATGATGACAGCGACACTCATGTCCGTGGCATGCACACTACCCTCGACGTGGATGAAGCTAGCCCTGTATGTGTCCGTCTCGATGACATAGGGCGTATCGTGACTTGAAGAGCAAAAGATTTAGTGTCCAACTTGAATCTGGTAGTATGCGCCGTAGTTGATCACTCACTCGTATGTATTGAATGTAACCCCCGGGATGCCAGCGTAGTAGGATGTTGCCATTTTGGGAGCGATGATGGAAGCTCCGTGCTCCACAAAGTGCCTGGCCCCAAAAGCGTGATCGTGGTGATGATGTGTAGGCTTGGGAGGAGGTTAGACACGAGCCTCTTGGGATCGGGTTCTTGACTTACAAACACCTGTCCCACGGGCTTTCCAAGGTGGATACGAATCCACTCCCTCAGGATTGAAGCTGGCTCAGGTGGGGCATCCAGAACAATAGCGTGTGTCTCCGTCTCAAGTACAATTTGCCGGTAAGATGCGACACCTGGGAGTCGTAATATCCACACCCCTGGCATGTCTGGGAATGGCTGTTGCACGTCAAAATCATCAACGGTGGAGTTGAATCTGCCGAACCATAGGTAGTTGTCATACTGCTCGCCAATTAGAGCAGTCTGTGAAGGGTCAACAACAGGAATATGTGTTTCCTTGCGCTCTCCGTTGACATTAAAGAAGGTTGGCCCGAGATTTACGTCGATGGATACTTCGTTTGCGAGGAAGTCGTTAATCAGACGCTTGTTGTTGTACTTGGTTTTGAAGCGCCGGGGAATCATGAGTCCGTCGACGGAGGTATAGTCGCTTACTCGCAGGTCTTTGGTCGAAGGGCCAAAGAAAGGATGGTCTTCCCATGTTCGAATGGCAAAGGGTAGGTAAGTGGTAGGATTGATAAGAACGGACATGTTGAAAGTGTGATCGAAAACTGACGGAAAGTTAGAAGCGTCTTTGCAAAACTGGCAAAGACAGACTGACCTGCGGGAAGCATTAAACCCTCTTCCACTTCTTCATGACGGAGGCTATAGTGGTTGTTTTGAGATATAGTTCTCAGCAAAAAAGGGTCATATTTGCGACTGTTAGATATAATGTACGCTGCAAGGTATCCTGGATGCAGTCAGACTAGCGGATGAGGCCAAAAATGATATAATACCATCTAAGTAGCCCTCGGGTGGAGCATCTGGGTCGAAAATAGCATAGCTACCCCTTGTGACCGCTGCAAACCCCTCGTCTCCGTCTCTCACGACCAAGGAATAGTCCATGGGCTGAAGTGTCGGCCGGGCAAAGAACCACACAGCTACAATTGCCTGTCAGTTGCTCATCGTTGGAGGCATCTCAAAGTCATGTACATACTTCCAAATGTGGCAAGCTTATCAATGCGTTGCTTCAAACCAGGCTCCTCGTAGGAAAATGTGAGGGTCTGACTTCCGCGTGTGACCACAGATTGGTCCATGCTATCGAGAGAAATAGTCACCATGATGGACTTGGTCCTGAAATGATTGCCACTGATTCTAACATTCCTCACAACAGTGTCAGATTTGATACCAATGGCTGCCAATGAGCGTTCTAGCAGGTCTGCAGGAATCTCAGGCCGACCAGTGTCCAAAGCTAGTGAGCTCAATGGCAAAGAGGCCACAAGCAGAGCGGAAAATGCTCGCGTAATGAACATTTTATCAACGATCTGCGAAGATGAGGCGAGAAAGGTGGAAAGATGTACAAGGAAATGATTGAGAAGACGCCTTGGATTGCGTTGAAGGCATTTATATGCTCAGTGCATCTACAGAACAGGAAGACATCTTAGCTCGGTAGACTTTCACTAGAATTGCGGTCGGTGTGCTCGTGTCAGTGTTCAAGAAAATGCATCGGCATGTCGGAGACCTTCGTCGTACTCTTATTTGGTCCGTCGGAAGTCCAAAGCCAGAGCGTGGAGCTGTTGAGTATCATCACCCTGACGCCCTGTCCCATCTTCATGTCTCACGTCACTGCTACAAATCACCACCACCATACACAAATTTGTACACAAGTAGACATGCAGGTTACGGTCATTGCTGCTAACATCATTCATACTGTACCGGTATTAATCACGATTGAACTATCATAGCGAAGTAGCCTCCCTGATACTGAAGGCAACAAAGCTTGGTCGTTCTCTGGTATTGACACGGCAACTAGTGGGCATGTAATGTTTGAACCCTATTACACTTTCTGTCAAGGGTTATGGGAATCCCTGGGCGATTTGTTGTTGTTCAGGGTTGTGTGGAGGAGATTTCTGGATAAGTGGGCGTGGTTGGAGTTTTGTTACCAAACCCCTGATGGTACAGCATGGGGACAAACCTTAACATTGACCATCGAGTCATTTCCTTTGCATGCATGCTTGATATCTATTGGTCGACGCATTAGCATCTTGGGTATCTCATGCAACAAGACGATCAAAACTACATTTGTGTGTTGAGATGCCAATGATGTAGTGTCAAGGCGGAAAGGTTGAAGGCAGCCGCAGAACTATCCTGCCCTCGTAGAGTACCGGTACCTGCAGACAAAGGAGGTTGATGTTGGCAGATGCTTACAGTGCACGAGCTTGACTGTATAGATGCTGTTGAAATCATCAATGCTAGCTCACTGATTCGTATCTGATCAAAGGGTACGGCTCTGCAAAGTTCGGTCCGTTCAAGTACGGATATTTAGCAGCAATGCAACCATTGTGTCTGCCGTGCTGTGTACTGTGCGCTAACATGACACATTAACACAGTACCACAGTTCCAGAGGAGCTAGACTACGCCACTTAGGGATACCGGAACTGAGCTAGGTATGCGATGAATGGATAAACATGTATTTCAATCCATAATGCGACGCTTTCAGACCTGGATTACGGCCTAATATTGAGCCCATATACTATCTATTGAGAGGTACAGATGGCTCGGCGTGTAGATTACCATGAATCTGATATGAATCTGCATGTATTTTAGCAAATTACAAATTTTAACTTGTCCACGTGCCCAGGTACCGGTACCAAGTTCCCCTCAAAGTGTGTACTGCGCTAGGAGGTCAGGCGCCATTCTGATGAGACTGTACCGGTATATGCCTAGATACGCTGTTGGGGCTAAGCTCAAGCACGGGGTGTCACCAACGTCACCTTTGTTGTCCTTAAAGACGACGTCGTCAATTGCAATTGCGGTCGATTATAATTGGTAACGTGATCCACCACCGAGCGCCCACCCCCACCGAGCGCCCACCAACACCAAAATCCACCACCCACTAAATGAGGATATTGCGCCACCCACAATAGCTATTATTACAAGATTTCTTAGAGTTGTGATTATTAGATCTATTAGAGTAGATTAAATATTTTAGATTATATAAGCAGCTTTTTAGGGGGTCTAATTAGGCGCCTACGCTGTAAAGTTGCCTCTACTACTATATCCTCTTCTACTAGCTCCTTATTAACCACCTTAGCTAGTATAATAGTAGGAGGCTTAAGGATTTACCTCTTACCTATTTAGGACGTTTTAATATTATTTTAGAATTACTTTTCTAGTTACTTAGTAGTTTTCTGCTTATTACGTGTAGTAGCTTTTTAAGTAGCTTTCTCCTCCTACTCCTTCTTAGTAATTACTTAATTTAGGTAATACTTCTTTATAAGTTAAGCTTTAGTAAGCTTCTATTACTTATAAAGCTTAATTACCTTACTTTTTTAGTATTATAGCTTTTATTCTTTAAGGTTCTTTTACTTTTAAAGCTTAAATACTTACTTTACCTTTAATAGTAAAATAAATTAGGCACTACTACTATAATTATTATTAGGGGGTACTAATAAAGGTTTACTACGCTTCCTACACTTCTTCTTATTAGCTAGGGTAGCCCTTAGGTGTTTATTTTTATAGTTAAGTAGAGTATTTCTTACTAATATAGTATAGATTATCTAGCTAAGCTTCTTTAACTATTTATTATAGATATTAATTATAGTATTATAGAGTAACTACTCTATCTTTCTTTAATTACTTATACTTAATATTAAGGTTATACTATTACTTAAAGAAGGCTAGTTACTATTATTTATAGGTGCTTTAAACCTTAAAAGGATAATATTAGGGTTAAGTAGTAAGATACCTATTACTTTAAAAGCTATTAATATTAGCTTTTCCTTAAAGGTATTACTCTATATAGTATTAAATAACTAGTAGAAATCTCTCTTAGTAATACTTATAAGCCCTTAGAAGCTATCTAGAAAACTAGATAGTTAAGCTTTATATAAAGCTATAAAGGGAGTAAATACTATAATATTAAATAGCTAAAGGGTATAAGTACTATAAGAGGGATATATTATAAATAGAATCTTATATTTATTATAGTACTTAATAAACTCTATTATTATATAAGATCTATAGCTATTAAGGATAAGGAGCTAGTATAAAGTATAAGCTTTAGCTTTTATCTTATAATTAAACACCTCCTTAAGCTAGGATACCCCTAGGGTATAGCTTATCTACCTACTTAGTAATCCTATAAAGAAAGCTTAGTATTATAATAGGTTAAAATCTTATAACTAGGTATCCTATAGAGCTCTAGATTAAAACTAATAAATAAGAGTAGGGGTAAGAGTAGTACTATTAGCGTATATATAAGCTATAGTAGTAATCTACTTCCTATTAATATCCTAGAGTATAGCTCTAATCTTTCTCTACTTATAAGCGCTTTTATTAAATATATATTTAGTTTTTAATAGTACTTTAATAAGAAAACCTTTCTTATTTATATTATAGATATACTAACTCTTAATATTATATTACTTTATTTTTTAGTATAAAAGCTTAAAGTATAAGCTATACTTAAAGGTAGAATTAGCTTTAAAGTAGTTATAATTAAGCCTAGTAGCCTAATAGGAGATAAGATTAATATTATAGTAGTTAATAAAGCGCTATACCTAATTTTTACTTATTAGATTCCCTATTATTTTAGTTATAAAATTTTAAATAATAGTCTATATAAAGAGTAATCCTTACTTATAAAGCTCTTTAATATACTTTATAAGCTTACTTTCTTATATAGTATTAAGTATTTAACTATTTAGTAGAGTAGTAGTATATACCTACTAAATTTTCTAGTAGTATCTAGATAAGGTTAACTATAAGTAACTATACTTTTCTATTATTTCTAAGTATATAAAATCTTCTCTAAGAGTTAAGGATTTAATTGCTACAAGCGCGTTATTAATAGGTGCTATAGTTATTAAGAAATTTAGTGTTAAAAATTTAGTGATTTTAGTGTTAGTGGGCGCTCGGTGGGGGTGGGCGCTCGGTGGTGGATCACGTTATCCAGTTTGGTCCCCTGAGGACACGCGACAGCCCTGGACGTAATCGATCTACACCGAGAGACGGGCCGAGCGTAGCACGAAGACCGACAATAGCGACGGATTTAACGGACGAGAGCAACAGTGGCGGACGACTCATGTCCTACTTGATATCTACCATGCTTTACAACCGCTCGTATATCCTTCCCTATCCTGATAGTGTCATTTTTTTTTAATTCAGCACCCAAAGGTGTCGTCGGCGCTAGACTGATCTTCCCCGTCTCAACTCTGCTGTGGCACAGTACTTGCGGACATCTTAGAATACCTTCGTTTCTTCATATCAATCAATATGGCCCAATCGTCATGTCGAATATAGAAGACGGGACATCTATGGTTCTCACAAAGTAACAAGTACGAGCTTAAATGCGTGTGAGTGCTACTCTATTCGAAGGCTATGCTATACCTCCAAAAGTCTGCATGCATATGCTCACGAGGCCGCAGTGGCAAGCTCGGTGTGCGTTGCTCAAATTAAATTAGGCTCGAAGTCTAGAATAGCCTATATGTGCACACCCAAATTTCATTTTTGCTATTTACAATGAGAAGAGATTCCTTGGCAAGCGTGTGCTGCTTGATCAAACCCGGAACTAACATACAAGAGCGTATCTCTGGCAAAGTTCATCGCGAGCCTCAGTGGACTGATGGACACGATCTTCATGGAAATTTGCTGTTTTCTTTTGTATCATTTGTAACTATTTGGAACAACAACTGGGCTCATCTTTAACCGCAGAGAGCCGACAGAAACATGAGGCCTTTATGGGGACATCGGCAGAAGCTAATGCAACGTCGCGCTGAAGGCGGATACTTCTGGCTTTTTCATGCTTTCCATTTCGAATAAAACATTCATAGAGCCCGTGCAAGCCCCAAACATTGTTGATGCGTGCTTTTCGACGGGGGTGGGTGTCGCTAAAGCCTAGGTCTTCGAGATACAGCTGTTCTGCTTCTTCAGAATGGCCTTGTTCCAGAAGTAGCGCGGCTAACGCATGACGGGTAGGTTGCATCCAGAGCGGCGGGTCAGCGTAAGCGAGCTCATCCTCTTGCTCAATGCCGCGACGTAATATAGAAAACGCCTTCTCGTAGTTGCCTACGCGATACTCCAACTCACCCTCAAGCATTGCAGAGGCAACAGCTAGGACTGGGGCTGCATAGGAAGAGGGGCCGTACATGCGATCTGCCGGTACAGCCTGACGAGCCTTTTCAAAGACTTCTCTTGCGTGGCGAGCCTCCTCGGTGCGTCCAAGGACTGCGAGAGCAATACCTTTAGCGTAATAAACTGACGCTGCCAAGACACAGAGCAGATCTGGGTCTGATGGCGGCTCAAGTTCAAGAATCTCTTCCCAACGACCAAAACGAATTAATGTATGAGGTAGTGTCACCGTCTGCCACTCAGCCCAGTCTACCATACGTGGTGTCTGGATTGCCATAAATTCCACAGTTAGGATCTCAGGCAAGCGTCTTGCAGCGTAAAGAGCATCCGCAGACCGACCAGAGGCCATGGCAGAATATGCCATGGCGTGGATGTTATGCGATCGATATGTGGTGTAAAGAGTAGAAGCAGCTTCTCCACGTGAGAAGTATTTGTCATCGGCGCGTATAGCCTGCCAGTTGGAATCAACACCGCGTCGATAGTCTCCGATAGATGTGTCGATGTGTGTGGCCATGTGTTGCATGTGAGAACCCTCTGGGACAAGGCGCCGTAGACTGTCGGCTGCACGCAGGGCCAACTCGGGAAAGGGCGACATTTCCATCATGTGGATATACAAATGGCAGATGCCTGGATGTAAGAGGCCATCGGGTCGAGCCAGCCCTTTCTCCAAAGCCGCTCTTGCCTCATCTACGTCTGCTCCAGTCGTCTTTCCGGTATTGAGATCCCACAACCTACGAGGCCGGGTGCACATGATAGCATCAGCAAACAAGGCTATGACGTCGAGGTCGTCCGGGTAGGCTTCATAGACGGGACGCATAGCTTCAGCATAGGCGTAGTCGAACGGCGATAGATCTTCTGGGATGTCGAGATGATCGCGCGGGAAACGAGTGCGGATGGCCGTGAGCAGTGCCCTCTCCAGGGGCGTGATATCGGCCTCAATCTTGTCAGCCTGGGCCAAGGCAGCCCAGATCTTTGAGACAGACGTCTGGCGATCAGATGGTGTGAACATTCGCCAGACTTTGTTATAGTTGGGCCCGACTGCGTATGCAACCCCCCAGTAAGCCAAGGCGCAGTTGGCATCGTGTGCTGCCGCCTTTTCAAAGCATACCGTGGCTGCTTCATGATTGAACGAGTAACACCATACTAGGCCGCGAGTGAACCACGTTCGTGCTTCGTCAGACGTGGTGCTGACTTCCCGGGCGTATTCACCCAGATCGTAGTAGGATGTGCTCCTACAGCATGGTGGTTAGTGGTAGTAATAAATGCCTAAGACAACGCCTGGAAGCGAGCTTACTCCATCCTGAGCTGTTGTTGGTACGTTGGCACACTGATGCAATTGTCGACAGTCGAGGCAACATGCACTCTGATGTATGTGTACGCAGTCGGGGCTGCAGCTACTGTAGTAGTCCTTTAATGCTTCCCTGCTCTGGAATGGATCCAAGCATCTCGTCTTTCTGTTCACCACCAGGTGTGGGGCTGGGACATGGTTGACTCGGTCCTCGGCCTTTGCTGCACACCATCTTATCGGCCTCGGCCTCGGCCTCACCGATTCCCCGATCACAAACCACTTATTAGCGCATTCACGAGTCAGATACCTACGCATCCTGTCCCATTGGTTGCGATTCTTGTGTAAGATATGCGAAGGGTGATTTGTAATCGCCAGGGTGTATAAAATAAAGCCTGACCATAAAGCACGGCCAACGACAGCATGAGAATGGGCTGAAATCTCACGCCAGCGAAGAACCAAGAGTTCGTGCAAACGGCGGTAGAAGGGACGGAGACTCCTATCCCCAGGTATGAGACTATTATCTCCGGCCGATTAGAGAAGCTGGCGTTCATTCAACCCATGCGGCTCATCAGCCGTTTTTCCAGGCTGTTACGCCATGTGCATAGGTATACGGGTGGCCCGCATGTGCGGAGTGTATGAGTTGCCGTCGACGAAGCACAACCTGTTTCGGACAAAACCGTGGTCAGTAAGCGAGACTACCCAGTGGGCGTGGCGTGACAGTACCATGGGTCGTACAGAAACCAACATCGATTTTTAGTATGGTTAACCTATTGTACATCCACCATTGCAAATCACAACCATACATGTAGAATGTGGTCATGTACATGCAAAGCATGACTGTCGGGAATGGACAAACCTGCCCTGCATGAACACCGTCACGATCTACCTCCCCAGTCCAAGACGAACATCCTCTGTCGGCCTCATCGCTTGCGCAGGGTGCCCATTCTGCATGTGCGATGACGAAGTCTCCTGTCCCATTAGTTTCCGCCACAGCTCGTCTATACTTGCTCGTTTCGCAGGGAGCATGCTGTACTGTAGACTGTACAGGTTGCGGCGGTGAATCGGCGGTACGAATTGGCCCGAGACAAGACATAGCAAAACACTGGGTGAAAAGTAGTGTTTTCGTATGCGCGCACCAAGTTCGAAATAGGACTGGAACATTGCGCGGAGTGATAGTGGTACTGACTTGAGCAGTATATAGGCCGCTGGGGCGGGATGCGAGGCGCGTTGCGTAATACCATCGATGATGGGCACATCTTGTAGTTCAAAGTATATACCACCTGGGAGCCGTCTCGAGTCTTTCAGCCGTAGCATCACAGCAAATAGGGGAAAGTGATTGAGACATGCTAAGCCCATCTCCAAAACAGCTTTGGCTCCGATCACGCTAATTCTTGCACTTACGAATGTCAAGTAGAAGACAAACACCGTCGGTAGGAGGAAGAACTGTAGCGTGAACAAGATGGTCCCTAAGAGAAGCTGGTCCAGATCGTAATCACACGAATCGATTCGATTGCGGAGTATATTGCGCTTCTGGCCGCGGAAGAGATGGAAGAGGGATATAATGATTGTTAGCTGCCAGTGGAATATGCGTGCGGATGCAACATAAAACGAATAGATGTGTAGCGTCAATAAAGAGAGAAGATCCGAGAAGATGGAAATAGGCATCGTAGCACCAGCGAAAGCGGAGAATCCGATCAGCTGAACCAGAGAGGGCAGGTGCGGTTGTAGCATAGATATGCAATCCACAAACGTCAGCTCTTCATCCGAACATGGCGTTGACTTGTACTTACTGGCCCAGTAGTCAATCACCCACAAGAACAGATCACCCAAGAATGAAGCGAGCTCAGTGTTCAATTTAAGACCTCCTGGCCAGCCCATAAGCCACGATATCATCCGTCGAAGCCCATCGACAGCCCATGCATTGAAGACCAAGTTGATTTGAGCTGCTACGAAAGTAGCATTTTCAATGATGAATGTCCCCAAAGCGATACCCATGATGACGTCGTTAGCAACCAACCACAGGCTGTTATAGAAGCGGATATACTCTGGGTGGTCGTTCGTGATGCTCTCCCAGTTCGCCTTCCTTTTGCGTAGTGTGAGGTACTGAATGGGCCAATAGCAGGATTGTTGCAGGCGAATATCCATCTGCTGAGCTGTTGCGGATATATCTTTCAGTGCAGACGAATTTGTAGAGTCAGGTCGCCAGTGCAAAACCTGTATAATTACCTCTCCTAGAATGCGATGGGTAACCAGGCCGATGATGAAGACATGTGCGATGATAGGCCACACCCATATCCAGAGAAGGTGGCTGACTGAAAGATAAATGTAAGTCCAAAGATGGTTCGCAGACTCAACAACACGTTCGCTAACGCTCAACGCACGCTTCATACGTCTCCCAATCATGCCAATATTCTTCTGTAGCAATGCATTTATCTCGTAGGAACAGTTGATTTGCTCGATGATCTTCTGTAGTGCTGCCTCCTTCTGTGTACACGGACGTGATATGACCGTGTGCAGTTTCAGCTTTTGGACCAGCTTTCTCTTCCTTGCCCGTTCTTTCTTATCCGCCTCCTCGAGCTCTTGGAATCCAGTATGCCATTCTGTGACATTTGCCTTGTCTCCGAGAGCGAGTGATATCGGCTTCAGCGAGAGATGCTGCATGCGCGTCGGATGCGGCCGGTCGTATACAATGACTTGAGTGGGAACGTCGCCGCCAATGAGATGATGTAGGCGAGGGAAGCGCATGGCCGAGTCGGTGTATAGAAGGAAATGAGCGTCATGGACTTTGGTAGGCGAGACTTTGGGGTTAACGTAGCCCAGGACGTGAAGAGATGAGTGGCCGCATCGCTTGAGGAGCTCGTGAATATCGTAGGGACTTCGACGCAACAGCGTTCCCACAAGCAAAGCATTTTCCACATGGCGCAGCTGTACGTGTCAGCCACCGTGCTTCCCTGCGGCTACAAAGGTTGCCTGTGACCCACCTCGACATCTTGCAGCACAGCGACAACGACGACGTCCGCATCCCCGTCCAATTCCGAGTTCTTGAAGCCCACAAGGACACCGGGGACGGTGTCTCGTGGAGCATCGGATGGCCAAAAAATGCGCTTCAAGCCATAGTGGTGGACCATGTCACGATGCTGCTACCTCGCCGTGTCAGAAGGAACCGCGGCGCTTGAGCTGCTCACGTGCAGATATGCCAGTGCCTGCGAGGCGCGGGTGCTGCCAAAAGTCAGCCACATGTACTTCCTACTCTCGCACCCTGATTACTGACCCGTTCTGTCTCGCGCGTCGCAATGCGCGCAACGGGCAGTGTAAGAAGGACGAAGAACAGAGTGAGCAATGCAAAGCCCTTTGCAGTTCTCGTCACTACGCCACGGTCCCAGGCAAAGATAGCGAGCTCGTAGAGGTGAGTGACCAGGTCCCAGCGGGCAGTCGAATATCCAGCGACGAAGATGCCAATGGTGACTATGGAGAAGGCATGCATCTACACAGGATGTTGCGCTGCCAAGCGAGCGGCCCGTGATGGGGACACCTTCGCTTCACCGTTGACGCAGAGATGTTGTCCTGTAGCAACCGTAAGGCACTTTTGCAGCCTGGCATGAGAAGAGAGAATCAAAATGTCTTGCTCTGGGCCAACTTCGAGCTGGCTGACACGCTGAGGTCTGAGCACTTAAGGGTCGTCGAAGTCGTGATGGCGCTAGTCCCGACTAAGCTAGACAATTCTGCACCTTTCATCGTCGAATACCACCTATGGGTACCACCAGCAGACATACATCCCGACGTCACGCACGACATATCGAACACAGTTTTCCACTGCGCAGCTCCTATTCAGCGACCGTCGCGTGAAAGTAGGTTTACATCTCCCGTTCAGATCTCTAGTTTTGTGCGGCTTCGAATTGTCCGCGTCAGCCATCACGGCTGTTGGACAGTCCCAAGCACGCATGCCTCGACACAGGCGCAGCCAGGTGCTTTCCGTTAAACAGCTGTAGAAAGCTTGAATCTGCAGAAGTAATTCATCAGCCATGCGACTTGCATTTGTACTCTCACCACAGCTCTGGGCGCTTTCACAAGACGGCGCTTTATTCTGGCTGATTGGCTAGCGCGTCACGTTCGCTTCCAAAGCCTCCGCCTCCAGCCCTTGTTCTGCTCCATCTATCACTTGCACCACAACGTCTTCGCCCCCAATTTGCTGATCACTCTTAGCCCTTTGGCGACTCATCTCACGACGGTCACCTCGGCCAATTTGGCCACGAGCCCAATATGGCCCCAATCTGCCCACATTGGCTGAGAGGATCTTGTCGATTCGGCATGAGTTTATGACGAAGCAACAAATATCCAAAACTCACACTCTTCAGATCGTTGCTACAATGAGCATCCTGACGGCCAACAGGGCAGCGGCTCCAATAACAACAGGTTTGGCGGATTTCCTGGCGGGGATCGCTATCGGCCAGCGCAGACAACTACGTCGAGCAGCCCACTCACAGGTATGTAGCGAGTGACTAGGTCTGAAGTCGACACCTGGTCGAAAACGCCATACTAACAAGAACAGGCAGCCGTGATCAAAACTCTCCTACCTCGTTCAACTTGAGTGAGGCCGACATCAAAACTGATTTGCGAGACCGACCGCTGTACCCGATCTCTTGCTACGGCCCTGGTAAAGGAGCTCCTCGACAACTAATAGAGGGCCCCGTAGAGATCAGCCCCGAAGAGCTACGTCTACGATACTATACATTGCTTGCTGCCGGTGATGAAGCTACAGCTGTAAGTCTCCCTTGTCTATGCCTGGCCCAGTGATTGACAGTGTACAGAAACAAGAAGAGGCAGCGTTAGGGATAAAGATGGAGCAGCAATTAAAGGCAATCTCGGATGATATCCCGGGCGCCATCAAGTATATCGAAGATGGTGTCAACGTTCACCCAAACAGAATAGATTTGGCCAACGGGACTGCTTCATCAAATGGACCGGCGAGCCTCTTTGGAGGAACTTCAGCAGCAACCGCAAATCCCTTTGGAAAACCGGCAGCACCTACAAATCCATTCTCTACTGCGCCGGTATCACAACCTTCAGCTTTTGGGCAGGCTTCGAAACCAGGGTTTGGCCATCCAGGGTTTGGACAACCTTCAAATCCTGCGCAGTCTACCTCAGCTTTTGGACAGCCCTCAAACCCGGGACAAAATGCATCTCCTTTTGGGCAGCCTTCAAACTCTGGACAGAACGCCTCGCCCTTCGGCGCGTCTTCGGGTCTCAGTCTGAAACCATCGCCATTTGGTCAGCCATCAACTTTAGGCAGTGCTGGGCAATTTGGAAAGCCTGCTTTCGGATCGTCAGGTTTTGGGCAGCCATCGATGCCGGGCACTGGGAGTGCATTTGGACAGACTAGCAGCGTAGGTCAGGCGTCAGCGTTTGGCCAACCTTCAGCGCCAGGTGCAGCATCTGGCTTTAGCCAAATCAATGCTTTGGGTCAGAAGCCTAGCCCGTTCAGCAATCCTGGTTTTGGACAAAGTGGTTTTGGACAGCCTGCACAACCCAGTGCTGCAGCTTCACAGTTCGGTCAAGCGGCACAGTCGGGAGGAGCCTCTCCTTTTGGCCAACAAACTACATCCACGCAATCTCCATTTGGTCAACCAGCAGCAGCGCCTCAGTCTGCGTTCGGTCAGCCAGCACAGCCAGCACCATCACCTTTTGGTCAAGCGGCTCAGTCAGGAGCACAAGCCTCGCCATTTGGCCAAGCTGCGCAGCAAAATCAGCCACTTGCTAATCCGTTTCAGCAAGGACGGACTGAGGCACCAGGTGATAAAGTGAGTCCCTTCGCCAGTGCTTCTTCGCAACCCTCTATGTTTGGTCAACCGAGCAAGCCAAATACAAACCCCTTCGGCGCTCCAGTAGCCCAAAATGGCACTTCACAGCCTGCCAACCCGTTCCTCCAGCGGCAGCCTCCAGCTCAGGCGGCGGCAACTTCAGGATTTGGCTTCCCGAACCAAGCCGCAACACCTGCAGCACAAACACAATCACCTCAACCGGCGAGACAGTTCGCATCTCAAGTCAAAGTCGCAGATACTAACATCGATCCAAAGGAACGCTTCAAGGAGGGCAGGCCAGAGGAATACGAAGGCGAGCAAGGCAAGATGCTAGAGGAGATCTATAGGCGTGTAGCCCAACTTGGGCGATTCAATGAGGACGAGGATATACCTTTAACACCGCCGAAATGCGAATGGATCGTACCGATGTCTGTTTAATGTTTTTCTGGGCTCAATAAGGGCCTGGGATTCGGCGGACTGGGAGGCATTTTCTGCTCATGTAGATCTTACTCATGACAGATCACGCACGATCATAGGAGCTGGCAAGGTAATGGAACACTTGTCTTTTCAGAGTTCAACTCATTTTCATGCTCTCCTCGATGTTCTCAGTCTACATGCCTCGAACGAATCCCTCGCTCACCACACTCCACCCCTCCGGCCACACACCCCCTTCCTGTCCGTCCCATCCCGCAGTCATCATCCCCACGGCCAGCAACAAGCCCGCTGCGCTCGGGAAATACGGCGTAGGCACCCTCGTCCCACCGACTGGCATACCCACCTCATCAAACGCATTGTTCACATCCAACAGCTGCCCAACCGCACGCTCCGCATCACCTCTTCTCGCCTCAGTGATAGCAAGCAATGGAAAATCCCAACCGTAGCTAAATGGGAAATTCCACGTCTCGTGCACTTTGGCAATAGTGTTGTTGAATATACTCATATTCAGGCGGTTGTCAGGGGGCAGCCAGCCGTAGATTCCGAGTAAGCCTGGATGGTCCTCTGTGTATTCTGGGGTGGTCCACATATTCTGTATGCCCTCGTATGTAACATAAGTTTCGTTTTCTGTGGGAAAGGGTGCAAGGTTGTCATGGACATGTGTCCATACTTCCGATACAGATTTGTTTAGTCTACTTTGCCATTTCGTCGCAATGTCGAGGCCGAAGCGCCAATACGCCAATTCGAAGGTCGGATTGATTGTCGCGTTTGGTTTCGTGTTCTCGGAAACCGGGTACATAGGTGGCCCTAAATCATAATATCCTGTACTGGCATTCCAGAACGCATAGCTCGCCATGAAATCCGCAACACCGACGAGCACATCATCCCATTTCTCGAGTGTGGCCTGTGATGGAAACGAGCGGTATTCCATTTCAGCGAAGTACATGGGATGCGGCTGTTGCCAGATTAATAAACTGTTGATTTCACCTGGTGCGGAACGGCCACTGGGGTCATTCATCTTGCCAATGCGCGCACCGTTATAGCCTTGTGCAGTAGCTCGTTCAAAGCTACTGGGTAAGAAGCGTTTATACACATCGATCGAACGGTTGTAGAGATCCCATTTTTGCCAGAACATCCAGTGCGCAAGGTGCCAGAAGACCATCTCCATATGGAACTTGCCGTACCCTGAGGAGGACGATCAGTATCATCAGAAAAGAGGTTCTATTGGGAGCAGGAGGCAAAGAGACTTACATCCGTTGTTCACAAGACCAGACTCTTGGGCGGGATCTTTACCGGCCCCATTGACCGCGAGGAGGTATTGTGAAAGTATGATGCGGCGTTGGAGTTCGTTTGCAGATGAATTTGTGGCGGTAGGAAGAGAGACGAAAGCTCCTCTAGACCAGTACTCTGACCACCAAGTTGCTGCTTGCTGCTTGATTGTACCACAAGTACTGGTGTTCGTGGGCAGTTGCGGAGCATATGTGATTGTGAATGCTAGATTCTCCGAATTTTGACTCGTGGCTAAAAAATATCGGTGTTCGTGTTCGTGAAGCTTTGAAATCCTGGCATAGCCTTCCCAAGCGATGTCTGCAACGTAAGTCGTCGCATCTAGGTTGTGTGTGATGAGAGCACCTCTTTCCCTATACTGTATATTCGTGGTGTGATTGGCGGTGGCATTGAAAAAACCAACAAATGGCGCATCGAACTTGTTCTTTCCAGTGGCATATGGGAAGTCGAAGTAAACCCCCAAACCAGCGGTACGGACCAGAGCCGACGAGATGTTGATCGCCACAGTGTCTGAGTGTGGGCTCACGATTGTCGTAATGGAAACTTCTGCGCCATCTAAGGAGAATGTGGACGAAACAACGCCTTCCCAAAGATCGAGTTTTTGCTTCTTTCCAGTCAAGGACTCTTCACTGACATTGCCCCCAGCGATGCCTCCAAACCATAATCCCACTCTTCCTAGATTGATCCTATGCGGGTTTGCGATCATCCATTGGCTGATGTCTTTCTGCTCAGGGTTCGGCTGCGCATAGTTGACAAGACGATCATGCGTCCACCAATCTACTCCAGTATAGTCTGATGGAGATGTCTGGCCTGGCGTCGTCGGTAGGGAAGAATTGTGCCAGCCCCACGAGGAAAGAGTGTTGTGTGGCAAAAACGTCTGGAGCCCCGTGATGTCGACACCAAAAGCGAAGTTTCCGTTACCGACCTGCACTGGACTGTATGGGTGGGATCGATTGAGGCTGAGGTTGTACTGCTGAACGATGGTCCTGCGATCGATCCTGCCCTCCACACTCGAATAAGTTACAGCCAACAAGAGTAGTGCGCTCGGAGGTATCGCCAACAACATGTTTGAATTATAGGTATTATCAGGGAGTGACCAAAAGCTAGCATGACCTGTAGCACTTTTTTTTTTGGCTTAACCAGACTGATCTTATGTACATATACCTCACGGTTCCTGGTTAAATTGCCGGTGGATGATCATTTAGTTTTGCTGACGCCTTCAGCGGGGTGATTGACCAACGATCGCATTGCGACGATCCGGGGTAAATATGCCCGAGGGCCTTTGAAGATCCAACGACCAAGTACGGCTTGGAGGTTGGAGCTGGGTATCGTCCTCGACGGAATGTAGGTAGACGAGGCGAAGGTCACGTGGAGATGTGGAGGTGAAGGTGGGGGACGCTAAGACTTGCACGTTGCCCCTTTCGGTTGGTTTCGATAAGACCTCGAGATGCCCTAGAAAAAAAGTTTGGAAGCTTAGCAGCGCGCGACCAGCATTGCGCGACGAGCCACCAACCCAGCAACATGTCCAAGGATAGTGCTGAAGGGAGTCAGATGGACTCATCGTATAGTACTTTGGCCGATCTTCAAAAGGGAAAGAAGAGGAAGAGGGCCCAGCCACGCCATGAGAGGAGATCTGTTATGCCACGGAAGACTTTGATCGCTGCTGGAAAGCATATGAAGCTTGAGGATGACGACGAATGCAGCAAACAAATGAAAGCCACAAAAGGCGGAGAGACGGCAGCCAATTCATCAACTCTCGCTGTCTCCAGCGAAGGATGTTCCACTCCGCATACTAACAAGCGCCAAAAGTCAGAATCGTCCTATAACGTTGCGACGGCTAGTTCGAAGCCAACAGGAGGTGACACGCCGAACAAGAAGTCTGAATCATCCCAGAGATACTCAAATCGACATCAAGCTGTTCCGCCCCACCTGAGCAGGAAGCGCGATGAACTACTTCCTCTCCGGAAAACCCTTCCAATCTGGCCACAGGCAGACACCATCAAAGCTGCGCTGAAGAAGAACAATGTTTTGGTCCTAACAGGAGAGACTGGTTCCGGAAAATCTACTCAAGTACCCCAGTTTTTAGCAAGCGAACCTTGGTGTACTAGGTGTATAGCAATCACGCAACCTCGAAGGGTCGCCGCCATCTCACTAGCACGTCGTGTAGCGGAAGAGATGGGCAGCTTCATGGGTAGCCAAAGCCCGGCAGCCAAAGTTGGATACAGTGTGCGTTTCGACAACTCAACAGGCCCGAATACGAAAATCAAGTTCCTTACAGAGGGTATGCTATTGCAAGAAATGCTCAGGGACCCGGTGATGTCACAATACAGCGCTATAGTCGTGGATGAGGTTCACGAAAGAAGTGTCAACGTCGATCTGATTCTGGGTTTCCTGCGGAAGCTCGTAGCCAGCATTGAAAATGGCAGCACGAAGAAGCGTGAACATCCCCTCAAGGTAGTAGTCATGAGTGCTACAGCAGATGTGGAGGGTCTCGTCAAGTTTTTTGAGGAGAGCCAACTGGCACCAGAGCCGAAAGGAGTCACTAACAAGTCTACCGGGAAAGATCTAAGAACAGTTTCCACATGCTTTGTCGAGGGACGACAGTATCCAGTCAAAACGACTTACACACCAGAACCAGTACAAGATTGGGTAGAGTCAGCTCTGAAAATTATATTCCAAATACACTACAAGGAGCAGCTTCCCGGCGATATACTGGTGTTCCTTACAGGTCAGGACACTATCGAAGGGTTAGAGAAGCTTGTCAACGACTACGCTGAGGGTATGGATAAGGACGTACCAAAACTGCTAGCGCTGCCACTGTTCGCTGCACTCCCACAATACGCTCAACAGCGTATCTTTGCACCCACCCCTTATCGGACAAGAAAAGTCATCCTAGCGACCAACATCGCTGAAACATCTGTCACCGTGCCTGGGGTCAGATATGTCATTGACTGTGGCAAGTCGAAGATCAAGCAGTTTCGTAATCGCCTTGGCCTCGAGTCCTTGCTTGTCAAACCCATCTCCAAATCTGCAGCTATTCAGCGCAAGGGTCGTGCGGGTCGTGAAGCGCCTGGTCAATGTTATCGTCTGTACACAGAAAACGGCTACAAGGAAATGGAGGAACGCACAACGCCCGAGATTTTGCGTTGTGACCTAAGTCAGGCGATACTCACCATGAAAGCACGTGGTGTAGACGATGTCCTCAACTTCCCATTCTTGGATCGGCCCCCACGAGAAGCCCTGGAGAAAGCCCTGCTGCAGCTCTTACATCTACAAGCACTGAGCGAGACGGGGGACATCAGCGACACAGGTCTCAAAATGGCCAAACTTCCTCTGACACCGACTCTGGGTCGAGTTCTGATTGAAGCGGCAAGACCTGAACGTGATTGCTTACTGGATGTTATTGACATCATCTCTGCACTCAGCGTAGAAAACGTATTCTTGAACTTGGTGACTGAAGAGCGAAAAGAGGAGGCGGAAGAAGCGAGGCGCGAATTATACCGGCGAGAAGGCGATCATCTGACGTTACTCGTGACTGTCCAAAGATATGCTGAGGAGCGGACAGACCGCAAATTGTGGTGCGAGAAGCATTTCGTGTCTCACAGGGCTATGCAAAATGTCATGAACATCCGGAAGCAATTGCAGCAACAGTGCACGTCACTCAAGTTGCTATCATCGGAAAATAAACAGTCAAATAAAGCTCCATCAGAAGCTAAAAGCCAGGCTATCCTAGCCTGTATGTTGCGCGGCTTCATCTCTAACACGGCACGCATGATGCCGGATGGGAGCTACAAAACGCTCATAGGCAACCAGACAGTTGCGATTCATCCGAGCTCTGTGTTGTTTGGCCGTAAAGTCGAAGCGATTGTGTTCAATGAGTTTGTTTTCACTGGCAAGGCTTGGGCAAGAGGTGTAAGCGCCGCTCAATTGGATTGGGTCACCGAGGTGGTCGATGCTATCTTCTAGTCGCAGATCCAGTACACAACAGATGAAGTTACCTCCATGGATTAGTGTAGCAACAATAGTAACAGACCATGTAATTAATCTTTGCTGAAGGAACAATGTAGGCCATCTACCTCCTCTTACCTCCAGCACCCTCCTTATCCGCCAGACTGACTACCTCACCAATGCCAGCAGCTTCTTGTTCATCCTCAAGAGCGCGGATCTCCTCTCTGCAATCCCACCATTTCTCTTCCGCACGCTCAAATGCCAACTTCTTGATCTCCTTTGGCGTCTTCTCAGCACTCTTGCCCTTGAGTGTAAGGTCATCAATGATGATACCTTGCCACTGCTCAGAAGTGCGCGCGTAAAAGTCACGTAAAGATTCAAACGGCCGTGGGTGCGGCAACGTATCTGTAAGCGCAGAAATTTCTTCCTGGTCGCCGAGGTCTTCGTTGCGGACATCCTTGGTGGGAATGACAACTGGTGAATCGTTGACAGAAGTTGGGGCCGTCGATGTGGCTTCCTCGTCCTCCTCTCCAGAATCATCTGAGTCCTCTTCGTCTTCTTCCTCATCTGAGTCCGCTTCGTCCTCGCTGCCTTGCCAGTCTTCGAGCTCGCGGCGGAAGATCTCTGTAACTCCGTCCAAGTGATTCAGATTAATGGCCCACATCTCATCAAAGGTGAATTCCCGGTCGCCTTTCTCGTATGTACCGCCATATATGTACAGTGTATCAGCTTGTACAGCCAAGGACGCGTTAAAACGTGGGTGTGGGTATTCAAAGATGCGTGGCTTCTCGGGGCGCTGCTCTTCCTCTTCCTCCTCTGCCTCTTTAGCTTTGTCGGCCTCATCGTCCGAGTCTGCACTTGTCGCAACCCCGGCCTTCATCTCAAGAGCTTTCAAGTTAGCAAGTAGTTCTTCTTCTGCAGCTTTACCGCGGTCACGGCGATTCACGTTTGCCTGTTGTGCAGCCTTCTTATTCGCATTGGTTTTGGGTCTGCGCAAAGTGAGTGGCATATACCGATTTCGCTCGACGTTCCAGACAAATAACTGGTTGAAGAACTCGGAATCGATACCCTCTTCGCTTTCTTCAACATCGTGTACACCTCCGAAGAGCACGCCTCGACCTTTGTGAAAAGACATGGTAGCACCTGCACGGGGCGGATTTGGCGCATTGGCTGGCTTTTTACGCTTCTCCCATGATACCAATGGGAGTGTTGTTGAAGGCTGATCAGCAGGAGGAGGCGTGATGCGCAAGAACCAGGTGTCGTCATGGACTTTTGGCTTCAAAACCATACGCGAAGCTGGTCCACCACCGCCGCCACCTTTTTTTCCTTTTCCTTGTTGTTGCTGCTGCTTACCACCTGCTGCGGCCTTGACGCGAGAGTAGCCACCATAAATGACAGCACCTTGCTCATGTGGCAATAACGTGAAGCTCGAACGAGCATCCGGAATAGCGCGGGCAGCTTGCAGCTTTGGTGTATGCCATGTGAAATTGACGCAGTCGTAGATCCATAGATCATTCAAGTACTTCGTCGTAGCGGATGTGTCCTGGAAACCACCAAAGAGGATAATGTATTGTTTGTAACCCACCATACGATGTCCACTGCGCGCGGGCGGATTAGCGTTTTTACCCTTCCCTTCTATGCGCGTCCATTCTCGGCTTGTGGGATCCAGCCGCCAGAAGTCGTTGTAATGATAGAAGGTTCCTTGCTTTGGAGAACTGAATTCCCCACCAAATAGGTAGATGTCTTTTGTGTTTGCAGCTCTACACCAGGCGTGGCCGGATCGCGGAAGCGGTGAATTTGGACTCGTCACTTTTTTCCACGAGTCTTGTTTAATGTTATAGATGAGTAAGTCGTTGAAGAATTTGGCAGTTGCCCCGTTAAAGTACTCCCCACCAAACAGGAATAATTCGTTCTCGTTTGCTGGGTTGGCTAGCAGAGCCCCAGAAGTCCTGGCCGTTGGAGGGTCGCTCGGGACCTCAGTGATGGCGTTGTACTGCTCCTGCTCTTTTGCATACTGTGCTAATACTGCATCCAGATCTACGTCTTCAGCATCCGAGTCGACCTCTTGCGTCTTTGTTGCGACCTTCTTGTCCTTTTTGCCTGCCTTCTTCTCTTGCTTTGCAGCTTTGGCTGCCTTTACTGCTGCCTTGTTACCTGCACCCGCTTTCTTCTTGTCTTTGGCCATACTGTAACTCTGAAGAGTCGTCCACACCAGCGTCTAATACAAGTCTCAGGTTGTTGTGGAACGAGATGTATGTTATGTTCATTTGCCCCTCAATTACCGGTACCAGAAAATTTCGTTCTTGGTAATATTTTGAAGGACGTGCCGGACCAGGTCGGTTTCCAGATGCCTGGTGGAGCAGAGCGCTTGATTTCTTTTTCCCTGTGTGTAACCTCTACTCAAAGAAGGTCTTTGGAAATGCGCTGGCTGTGATTTCGTGATTCCTTCACACTTGTCATACGCTCATACTCTTTTGGGGCAGGCCTGGCCAAACGCGAGGATCTTATCGATAACGTGATCCACCACCGAGCGCCCACCCCCACCAAGCGCCCACTAACACTAAAATCACTATATTTTTAACACTAAATTTCTTAATAACTATAGCACCTATTAATAACGCGCTTATAGTAATTAAATCCTTAACTCTTAGAGAAGATTTTATATACTTAGAAATAGTAGAAAAGTATAGTTACTTATAGTTAACCTTATTTAAATACTACTAGAAAATTTAGTAGGTATATACTACTACTTGTTATAGACTAGCCTTAAGGGAGAATGCAATAAGCGTTAATAATAGTATTTAGTATCTTAAAGGAGAGATAAGCCCTCTACGCCTTTTTATAGGTATCTAGTGTGTTTACTTAGTAGTAGTGTTAGACTTAGTCTATCTTATATTAGACCTAGGCTTAGGTATAAGCCTAAGTCCTTTATATACCCCTAACCTTCCCCTATAAACTATTATAAAATTATCTTTCTAGGGGTTTAAGGTTATATCTTTATCCTTTATAATCTATATTAGGCTTTATTACTATATTTTTTAGTTTTATTATTATATCTTTATATTTCTTCCTAATTTATAATAGGCCTATATATTAAGTAGTACGCGCGTATAGTGTCTATACACTTATTTTAGTACCCTACTATAAAAGTTCTAATATAGCTATCCTACCTTACTATAAATTTCCTAAACTTACTTTATTATATAATAGATTTCCCCTACTAATTAGCTCTCTCTCTACTCTTTTTCTATTAATCCTGCCTATCTAGCCCCCTTTATATCCTTATCTATAGCTACTAGTGCTAGTAGTAGGGATCTACTATAAGGTAGTTAGACCCTACGCTAGGCCTACTAAGATAAGGTGCGTACTTCTAATATTCTCCCTATATTTCCTACACTAACTTTTTATTTAGTATATATCTCCCTAAACCTAGTTACTTAGTAGCTTTATTATTTCTAGTAACTTAGATAATAAGGAATATAATAGTAGCTTTATAAAGCTACTTCCCTATAATTAGTATATTAACTAGCTTTATCTCTTTAGTAAGTATAACTATTAGGAGGGTAGTAGTAAGTTCCCCTTAATTTTTATTTTCTTTATAGCAAGTTCTAACTATATCTAGGGCGCTTATATAAGTCCTACTATTATAGCTATAAGACTTATACTTAGTTAGAAGCTATCCTTACTAATAATTCTAATATTTACTAAGCCCTCTATAACTAGCTTTAGTTTTATTATAGTTACTAGGAGGATTACCTCTATATTATAAAAAAGGGGACCCTTAGTACCTTTATAGGGAAACCTACTAAAGGCACCTATTACTAGTTTATACTATAGTTTTACTAGCTCTACTATTATTTTAAGGATCTTATATTAAGGGCTTAAACTAATAATACTATTACTCTACTTACCCCTACTACCTATTTACGCGCCTATAATTAGTATTAGCTTAGTGCTATTATTCTATCTACTACTAGTACTCTAGTATTTCTACTTTAGTCTACTATTACGCCTTTATATAGTAGTTATAGTAATAATAATATTATATAGCTTACTACTACTACTAGTATTACCTTCTAGTATATTAACTAGCGTATAAACAAGACCTAGGCCTAAACTTACCTTTATATTAATAGGCTTAAGAGTGCTACTAAGCGCACTACCTAAGGTATTAAGACTCTTATTATTAGTATTAGTTTTCCCTTATTCCCTTTATATCTATTCTAATATTTATTTTCTTTAGGCCTAGGGTGCTACGCGTTAGTAAGCTATTAAAGTATTACCCTCCTTCTACTACTACTACTACTACTTATACTTATTAACTAAGTCTTCCCCTACCTACACTACGCGTAAGCGTTACTACTATTACTAAGAGATATAGAGGTATTAGAATAATATAAATAATAGTTTAGGGGGGGCTAGAGGGGGGTTAGTTATAAATAGTAATAGTATAGATACTACTACCTAATTATTAGCTATATTATAAAACTTTAGTAGTAGGGCACTTACTTAGAGTATTATTAGGATAAATAAAAGATATCTCTAATACTTTTCTACTTCTTAATTATAATAAAGGTCTAAGTTATTATTTTAGTTTCCTTTTACCCTTACCTCCTAGCTTTTATATATATTAGGCTATTATTATATATAGTATCTCTATACTATTTCTTAAACCTATCTAGAGCCTTAGTATCCTATACTACCTCTAGTAGGTGCTATATTAGATTAATATACCCCTTTTATTTTACTAGGACTTAATACTTTCCTTTTCCTTTTATATTCTTTATATAAAGGATCTCTTCTACTTCCTATTTATCTAGTATTATATCTTTATTTTTTAGAGTAACTATTAGACCTAGTTATAAGTCCTAAAGCTTCTAGCTTAGTAGCAGGTTATTAGTAGCTCTCTCTAGCAGATCTATATATATAGTCTTATATAAGTTCCCTAGTAAATCTAATACTACTATAAGTATAGTAGGGACTTCTATTACTCTATACTTTACCTATAGCTAGTTAAACTTTTTACTTAGTTAGTTTATCTTTATATTATATATTATAAACTAAACTATATTACCTTTTAAGAACTTTTTAGCTAGGTATTAGGACTAGTTTATTACTTCCTATTATTATTACTATTAGAATATAATAGTAGCTTATACTAGCTTTACACCCCTCAATAGGTGTAATAAGAACGCTATAGCCTCTTTATAAGGATTCTTAGGCTTTACTAGTAGTAATATTATCTTTTATAGCGTGTCTATAGTATACCTATTTAAAAGTAGATTTAGGCTAATACTAGTTATACTAGAGTCCCTATTATTAAGTATAAGTTAGCAGGCTAGCAGGTAGTTAGGCTAGTTAGTCTGCTTAAAGTATACTATTATGCGTAGCACCACCTATACCTCTTAGTTTACCTACTCTATCCTACTATCTATCTAGGGGTAGTATATAGTAGATAGTAACTAGTTTATCTTTATTATCTAGTATAATATTATCTAGAAAGATCCTAACTAGTTAGAGCCTTAGTTAGTAATAATAGAGGATAGGAAGCCCTAGAACTACTACTAGTTATCCTAGAAGATCCTTGCACAATAATTAGCTACTATAGAGACTGTTACTTTAAGCTAAATATATTTAGATAATCTATTAGTAATAACTAATAGGTACTAAGGTTTGCTATTATCTTTTATAGGTAGGTTAACTATAAAATCTATAGATATTTAGGACTAGTATTATAACGCAACTAGTATAGGTTATAATAGACCCTATTAGCGCTTCTAGGAGATATAAGCACTATAATAATAGCAGTTCTAAATATACTACGTAACATCTCCTAATATTCTATCCTAATAATAGTTATAGCGCAGTATTTAAAATATTATATTCTTTCCTAGATATCCTATTAAACCTAATTTATATACTTGCTATATAATAGTAGTTATAAGGGGTTCCTATATTAGTAACTAAATAACGCCCCTCTAAAGCAAAGTGCTATATGCGCTAATTATATAGTCCCTAATCTATTACTTTATATTAGCTAAAACTAGGAAGGACCTAGCGCCTTTCTAAACTATATTAAGACGCACTTAGTATATCTTATCTTCTAATACTACTTTGTCCTATAGTATCTATATATATAGGTTAGCAAAAAGGCTAGCGCCCTTTAGTAACTTAGACGCCTCCTCTACTTCTAATACTATAACCTAAATTAATTTAGGGCGTATTACTAACTATAGTGTTGCTTTAGAGGAGTTTAAATCTTATAGTTACCTACTTAAGGTATTAGGTTATCCTATAAGATAGCTAGGTCTATACTATAGGATATACTAGTATTTTAAAAGTTCCTCTACCTAGTAGTATTATTACTTGCTTAAGCTTTAAAGGCTAGTAAAGTACTCTAGGTTTTTATAGTCTATAAATATTATAAATAGTTTATAAATACTCTATAACTCTACTAACTAGCTTTTAAGACACTTAATAATAGCTAGTAATTCCTTGTTGTATATAGTGTAGTTTTGTCTCTATAGTACTAGTACTATAGAGTAGTAAGTAACTAGACGCTAGACGCCCCTAACTTTTTGTAATAAGCAACCCCTAAGAGTATATCCTAAATAGTTAGCTTCTAATAATATTTCTTTAGCTAGGTCCTATTGCGTTAGTACTAGTCTAGATATAAATGCCTTTTTTAGTGTATTAAATACACTATATTCTTCCTCTCCCTATTAGAATAGGGTATCCTTCCTAGTTAGTTAGTTTAAAGGCGCTACTACTTTAGAAAACCTTGCGATAAAATTGTAGTAGAAGTTAGTAAAACCTAGAAAACTCCTTACCTCTCTTATATTCCTAGGGGATTCCTATTCCTATACTACCCTAAGCTTTTTAGGGTTAGGTCTAAGTAATTTACCTACCTTAATAATATAGCCTAGGTAGCGTACCTCCTTAACACTAAACGTACACTTCTCTAAGTCTAGGTGTAGTCCTACTTCTTTTAACAGCGTAAGTACACGCTTTACTTTTTCTATATAGTTAAACTAGTCTCCTCCTAAATAAATTAGGATATTATTAAGGTAGGCTATTGTATATAATCTAAGTAACTCTATAAGCGCGGTATTAATATATTATTAGAAAGTAGATAGCGCACTACTAAGACTAAATAGATATACTAACTATTTATATAACCTAAAC